TTTTCTTTGTTAGGTTTGAAAAAAACCCCGTTTTTTAGGCATTTTACCCCCTCTATCTTTCAGATAACACATGCGATTAAATTCCCAAATTTTTTGTAGAATTCTGAGACACTAAGGAAAGAGTTTCAGTAGACAAAATCTCAAAAAAATTATTTTACTTTAAATTAAGAGAGATTAAGTGGCGTAAGATTGATAAATTTGACTATAACTAGGGTAAATTGTTAAAATATTTAAAATGTTAATTTAGGTATTGAACAAGACTGTCAAAGAGGCTAAGAAATCGTGAATTCCTATGAAAGTGAATGAAATACTCAACACCGATGTATATGCGTGTATTGTTAGGCTTGCGTGAGTAGAATCAATTACTCGCCCGGAATCGGTTTATTATCTCCCTCACCCTTTTGGCTTTATTCGGATTCAGCTGGTGTTTTCGGGAATTCCTTTAGACTCAGGCTTTAGGTTTATCGCCCGTAAGAATATCGCGGTGCAGTAACCTCTTGCCTGGATCGAGCTGACGGGAAACAAAATAGAAATAAAGATAATAATAAAAAATAAAGAGACGAGTACACTACTAAGCCGATGGATTCTACACCAGTGAAAAGGAGTGAATAGACCCTCTGAGAGAGCTAACTACATCTCCATCTCAATCTTTCTTCATTTACTGGTACTTCTTCCACGGAACAGTATCCTCATCTTATTCAGAGATATTCATAGAAACCTTTTTCAGGGAACCACCAAAAGTTATTTGTGATGCTTAAAACTCACTCACTCACTCGCTCATAAATGTCAAAAATAAAAGGGAAAAGCCTCCTCTTTATTTATAGTCGCTTTTTTAATGTTTTTATTATAGAAAATATAATTTATAAACCAGACAGTAAATATCGTAGACGTTTAACTTATAATTTACTATTTTTTGCTACCCCGGTTTGGGTTGTGCGGTTTTTTTTAATTTTAAATTTAAATCTTGGCTAAATGGTTGGAGGATTTAATTTCCCACAAAAAAGGTTTTATAATTTTGATAGTTACCCCATAGATCGCAATTTAATTATTTATTGCCGCGCTTTGGGTTGTGCAATAATTTTTGCAATGACTATAACTCCGAAACTAATCGACCGATTGATTTGGTTCTTTAGACACTTTTCTACGAAAAGTGTCCCCTAGATCCTTGCAAAAAATCTAACTCCTTGTTATTAATTACCTCCGATGTTTTTCGGCTACAATAGATCTGAATCAGCAATTTCTTATCTATTGTCAGCTCCAATAGACAAGCAGTAGGTCAGCATCTAAAACTATATAAATCTAACTTAAGATCGAGTTGACACGGAATTTATTGAAAAAATTTTTCGGCAGAAAAGAATAATAGTCACCGGAATATAACTTAAACTGCTGCGGATTTAATACACCACGAAAGACAAGAATAACCAGAGGGTAGAATATAAGTACAAGTATAGAGAAGGATAAGGGATAAGGGGATAGGAGTAGACCACGACAAAAGAGACATATATCCAACTCAAACTTCAACGTAACGTTACGTGTGTTTTACGCTAGACTATCTCTCATGGAGTCATGGAGGAACTCGATTGGCTTGGAGTAGCCTTGGATCCACGCCAAGATGCTCATTCCTTCTTCTCTTCCTTCTTATTCTTCTTACGCTCTTTCAACTCTATATCTACTACAAGACTTATACTGTCGAATATATATCGCATCACTCGGTGAACTTTGTCTGACCCGGCTGCGCTTTTCAATTATTTTCTATTTTTAATCGTAACAGGTTATGGGCCTAGACTTGGCCCATGGAATTTTTGTAGGGACCTAGGGGACACTTTTCTACGAAAAGTGTCTAAAGAACCAAGTCAATCGGTTGATTAGTTTCGGAGTTATAGTCATTACGAAAATCATTGCACAACCCAAAGCGCGGCAATAAATAATTAAATTGCGATTTATGGGCTTAATATTGGAGATAAAAAAAATGATCAAGGATAAAATTGAAATGAAAAAAAAATATTTAATAATTTAAATTCTATTGATTACGTCCTTATCTATATATACAATAGTTAAATAATTAATAAATACAATAAGTGACTTGTAAAATTTTACAGTACACGGTATACAATTTTAATTTTCATTAATCATGGCAGGAATCGACACAAATTTTTGATTTTTATTTTAAAAATTAAAAATTATTATTGCTCTCAGTCACCAATTGACTCACTCAATCTAATTCAACATATTTACAATTATCCTTAATATTATTAATATAATGATTGTAAGTATGATTATTATTAATAATCATAATTATTATTGAATTATTTACATACGATTAAAATCTATTAATTTGGAAGATAAAAAAATGTAAAAAAGAAATCGAGCGTTAATAAAAAATCAGTCTTAAATCCAAGAGATACAAGAGTACGTACATTTTATCATCGCATCGTTGTTTTATATTTTTTTTCTATACATTTTTCCTACTTACTCATTTATTATGTAGTTACTCAAATATTAAATGCGGTTACTTTTTTTTACCGTGAAAATGAGCGTTGTGAGGTGAATGTCTCCAAATTTGGTTGTGGTTTGAGTAAAAACTCAATTTTTTAATTACCAGTAATTAGGAATTGTAATTAGGTTGTGATTTTTTGTAAGATACCTAGGGGACACTTTTCTAAAAAAAGTTTTTAATGAATCAAGTCAATCGGTCGATTAGTTTCCGAGTTATAGTCATTTTAAAATTCACTGCACAACCCAAAGCGCGGCACAATAATTTTAACTACAATTTACGAGCTTAATATTAGATACAAAAAAATTTTTTCTACAAAAAGGTCCTTATATCTCATTTTTTCCCCAAAATTTTAATTTAAAATTCAAAACCAAAATTCTAAATAATTTTTTAAAGTTAAAATTCCAAATTTCGCGATAAATATTAAAAATCCAAAAAAACCCTATTTCAAAAAAAAAAATTAAATTACCTTCAAAAAAGCTCTCTTAATAAATTTTCCACTATCACCAACTCTTCATCCATAATTTCAATTTATTATTGTTGCAACTGTAAAAATTTATGTCTAAAAAAAGCTTTCCAGTGATCCTTTACAAGCAGTAAAATTATAAAATAAGAAATTCAGTCGTAGAAATAAATTCTTATTATTCCCTCGGAAGGAGAATAGGATAGAAACAAAAAATTGTGACCCAGAGTAGTGCAGAAGGGGCCGAAAAGTTGATGCAGACGCTTCCCCCCCCTCCCCCCTCTCTGCTCCCTTCCTGATATCGCACACGCGGTCGTTAATGGAGCCACCACGGAAATTGGTTCCAAGTCATCTCTCTTTCTCTCTTTCTATTCCATTCGCCCTTTGCCACTACTTTTTGTACAGTCTTCTTCCGGCGGTCCTTTATACACATAGATACATTTGTGCGTAGATGTACTCCCGGTTACCGCATCGCTCGTGGCAATAAAATAAAAATAAGTGCCTCGTGTTCGCTCTACCCTCTACCAGCCATACTCAACCTTTTTATTTATTTTTGTATATATATATATATAGATATATATATACACCTTTTTTCAGTCTGTTCTCACTCCGACCTATTCCATTCTTTATTACGAGCTGCAACGACGAATAAACCCTTATTTTTTACCGAGTTAACCGTTAACAAGATGGAAGTTGATAATTTTAAGGAGTGGGGGGGGGAGGGAAATGCGCAAATTTATTGGGGTCATTCGATTATCGAGTCATAGACGATTCCTTATTTTTTTTTATTGCACTGAAATGTGTGATAAAGTCACGATTTATCAGTCTGGTAATTGATCTAGTGGGTTAGGAGATAATTTTTAGGAGAAAAAAGGTTCTATAATGTTTTTAGGAGTTCTGGAATGTTCCTAGGAGTCCTAGAATAATTAAGGAATTTTTTTTTTAAGTTGGAAAGAAATATTTTGGGGAAAAGTGTAGAAAAATTGGGGTCAGAAACATTTTAGGAGTCCTAGAATGTTTTTAGGAGTCTTAGGAATTTTCTAGGAGTTCTAGAATAATTAAGGAATTTTTTTTTAAGTTAGAAGGAAATATTTTGGGGAAAAATGTGGAAATATTGGGTTCAGAAAAATTTTTAGGAGTTCTAGAAAGTTTTTAGGAGTCCTAGAATGATTTTTAAGAAGTCCTAGATTATTTTATAATCTTAAGTAAAATTAGGAGGGTGACAATAATTTTTATAATGGCTTAGTTACGAAAAAAATGGATTCTAGGAAGTTTCTAGGAGTTCTAGAATATTGTCTAAAAGTTCTAGAATATTTTCTAGGAGTTCTAGAATGTTTTTAAAGATTTTAGAAGAATAATAAGCATAAAAAAATGTTGTTAGACTTGAAAATAAATAAATTGACTCTTAGAAAGTTTATAAGAGTCCTAGAATATTTCCTAAAAGTCCTAGACTATTTTCGAGGAGTTCCTAAAATTTTCTAAGACCTCAGAAGGACGATGTTTTTAAAAAAATTGTTGTTAGACTTTAAAATGAAATAATTGACTTCTAGAAAGTTTATAGGAGTCCTAGAATATTTCCTAATAGTCCTAGAATATTTCCTGAGAGTCCTAAAGTATTTTTTAAGACTTCAGAACGATAAGAAGTCTCAAAAAAAATGTCGTTAGGCTTAAAAAATGTAAAAATTTACTCCTAGAAAGTTTCTAAGAGTTATAGAATGTTACTAGGAGTCCTAGAATATTTCCTAGAAATCCTAGAATAATTTTTAAGACTTCAAAACGATAATAAGTTTTCAAAAAAAATTATTGTTCGACTGAAAAATAAAAAAAAAGATTCCTAGAAAGTTTTGAATTATTCACCAGTGACTTTAATTGCGATAAATTCTAAAATATTACTCATATTCCAGGAAGCTTTTATCATCTTTTATTACCTGGAGTTTTTGAAGGGTTTGAGATTACCGTCAGAAATGAAACACATTTTCAACATTTCGTGATTATCGATCCGCACTACAGATTTTTGAATGACGTAATATATACATATATAGGTTAAATATATGCTCTCGAGTGCAAGCATCCATTTGCTCTACTTTTCTCGATATTTTCCCCGAATATTTCATTTCCTTCCTCCATTCTATCTAAATAAAAATTGTTTTTCCGACCATCTACCGTTTTATGTTTATTATTCTCAATTGCTGCGTCTATAATTGATAAACAGTTTCATATTAATTGGCCAGCGGGCATAAAATATAAAAATATTTATCCAACCTAGTTTTTCCTTCATTCTTTCGTTTTTTATTCAATTATCGTTTTTTTATTCAATTACCGTTTTTTATCAATTATCGCCGCCAGGGTTAGATTATTTAAAAACAAAGCTTTTCACTGTCATCAGTACTTAATTGCCGACAGTTTGAGTACCCACTCGATTTTTTCCAAAATTTCCAAAATTTTGGAATTTTCCAAAATTTTCCAAAAATACATGTAGGTACTCATTTTAATCGTATTTTTACCATCTTTAAGCTCCCTATAATCAAAAATGATTTTAATGTAATTTTTAGAAAATTTTTGGAATTTTCCAAAATTATGGAAAATTCCAAAATTTTCCAAAAAATACATGTGGGTACTCATTTTACTCGTATTTCAATCCTCTTTAAGCTCCACACATTTCAAAATATTTTAAATATTTTTTTGAGAAGAAAAATGACCTTTTTTGAAAACAAAAAAAATTTTTTAATTAAAAAAAAAATTTTAAATAATTCAAATGTTGAAATATTTTGAACGTGACGAAACTTCCTAGAGCGTATGTAAAATATTTTTTATCGAGGTTGGTTATAAAAAATAAAACAAAAATAAAACTCACACTAGCGGCGTTTAATATAAATATTGAAATATAAACCGTACACCAATTTTTAAATATTCATTCATTATTAATTATTTATAAATAGAAAATAACAAGTAAAAAATTTAGAAATTTTTTCATTGAAATAAAATATGTAATTTATTGCAAGAATACCTTTTAATTTTTGGCATGTATAGACCCGCCCGAAGCTTGTAATCACGTCAGATAAATATAGGACTCCCTAGAGCTTGTAAATATCGGGTATTGACCACTGCGATCCAATAAATTCTTCTATTGTATTATAGCGGGAGCTTTTTTGTGAGAGTGTAATTTATGATATGCTGATTGAATTTAATTTTTATAAAAAAAAAATAACACGAAAACTGGTTAATTTAGTATTTTAACAGGTTATGGGCCCAGATTTGACCCACGGAATTTTTAGCGCATTTTTTGTAGAGACCTCGGAGACACTTTTCTACGAAATGTGTCTAAACAACTGACTCAATCGATCTATTAGTTTCGGAGTTATAGTCATTACAAAAATCATTGCACAACCCAAAGCGCGGCAATAAATAATTAAATTGCGATTTATGGGCTTAATATTGGAGATAAAAAAAATGATCAAGGATAAAATTGAAATGAAAAAAAAATATTCATAATTCATCATAATTATTATTGAATTATTTACATACGATTAAAATCTATTAATCTGAAAGATAAAAAAATGTAAAAAAGAAATCGAGCATTAATAAAAAATCAGTCTTAAATGCAAGAGATACAAGAGTACGTACATTTTATCATCTTATCGTTGTTTTATATTTTTTTTCTATATATTTTTTCTACTTACTCATTTATTATGTAGTTACTTAGATATTAAACGCGGTTACTTTTTTTTTTACCGAAAAAATGAGCATTGTAAGGTGAATGTCTCCAAATTTGGTTGTGGTTTAAGTAAAACTCAATTTTTTAATTACCAGTAATTAGAAATTGTAATTAGGTTCTGATTTTTTGTAAGGTACCTAGGAGACACTTTTCTAAAAAAAGTTTTTAAAGAACCAAGTCAATCGGTCGATTAGTTTTGGAGTTATGGTCATTTTAAAATGCAAGGCACAACCCAAAGCGCGGCAATAAATAATTAAATTGCATTTTATAGTCTAAATATCAAAAAATTATAAGATACCGTGTTAATACTAAATTCAATTATAATTTTTTTATATTTTTAATATTTACCCCATAAATCTCAATTTAATTTTTTATTTTTTTTTTTTCTTAATACTTTTAAAGTCGCATAAACTACTAAGGTCATGAGCGACTACGGTAGGGGGTAAACTTTTGAGATTGGAACTCGTTTGTATTTCTTGGGCTGAGCAGTATAATACACTTAAATATTGAAAATATTCATTGGTGTACGCCGGACTCGAACCCGGTCCAATGCTTTGGTAAGCAAGGGCCGGATTCGATAGGCTACTGCGCGCCCTTTAATTATTTATTATATTATATTATATTATGTAGTAAATTTTACAATGACTATAACTCCGAAACTAATTGACCGATTGACTCAGTTCTTTAGACACTTTTCGAAGAAAAGTGTCCCTTAGGTTCCTACAAAAAATCCAGGGCCAATAACCTGTTTCTTAAATACTTTAAACGATAAATAAAAAAAAAGTATCAATTACCGTGTCACCGTATAATCAAAATAATCCGTGAATATTGCTTATTAAATTGAGCAATTAAATTCGCATTAAAATCAATTATCGGTGCATTTGAATCCCCGGGATTCCATTAGTACCTAATTCCTCAATTATTACTTTTTTATCGCGCTCCTTTGTAGCGCTTCCAACAAAACCCGGGGATCATTTATAGGGCAATATAATTCTCCTATCCGTATTACCCTCATTATAAATACGATTAAATTATCACATCGTTCGGGAAAAAAATTTCCACTTATAGATTTTTTAATTTACTAGCTGTGCAGTTTTTTATAAATATTTTATTTATAAAAAAAAAATTATTAATTAATTTCAAAGCTTCATTTTTTTTTTTTGATTTTCCCAACGATCCATTGAGAAGTTAGGCACGATTGAATTAAGTATCGCAACTGATGGTATATTGAGTTAATATAACTGTCGGAAACTTGGGTGAGTATAATTACCGCTTCTATTTGTACCGATATCAAGCACCGATGATATGATATTAGCGCAGACGAGATGTACTCCTCGTATATTGATAGAATCAGCCGTATATTAGGGTAAATATAGTTTATCATCGATAGTCTCGAGTCTACAGTCTGTAAAATTCATTGATTGCTCGTGTGTTTATTAGTTTGGTAATTAAAGCAGTACTGGTTTATTGATTTAATCAAAAGTTTCAAATAGAAGGTAATTTATTGACAAACTTGTCTTTTGAATGATTACCTTTGAAAAAAATAAGAAAATTTATTAATTTAGAATTTTAACAGGTTATGGGCCCAGATTCGACCCATGGAATTTTTGGCTAATTTTTTGTACAGACCTAGGGGACACTTTTCTAAGAAAAGTTTTTAAAGAACCAAGTCAATCGGTCGATTAGTTTCGGAGTTATAGTCATTAAAAAAATCACTGCACAACCCAAAGCGCGGCAATAAATCGCGTGTCTAAAGGTAAAAGGGCGCATATTTTTTTTTTATTGCCAATCGAGTAGTAGACACATTCTACGCTTAAAATTGAAAAAAAAATTGCAAAGGTAAAAGGGCGTATGTCTTTAATCATACGGCCTTTTACTTTTAAGAATTCGAAATTTTGGTGATCTAAAGGTGAAAGGCCGTATAATTTTTTTTTTCGGCCAGTTTACAAAACAACATATTCGTAGGTTAAAAATGTGAAAAAAAAAACTTTCTGTGGTAAGTAGCGGCGTAAAACCTCAACTATAAAATTTTTTAAAGTTAAAAAAGAAAATATATCGAAAAAAAACAATAAATTACGCGTGATTATTTTCTCGCTTTTTTATTTTAACAAATAGTTTATTATAAAATTTGGATTGTGGTTTGTTGATGATGATGAAACAGCTGTTGTGTGAACGGCGCCAGTAGTTATATTCAATAGAGCGATGTAAAGCGGGAAATTTCAAAATATTTCAATGTTATCTGTCATTGTGATTTTTTTTATTACTTAATTTTTACGTTTTTTGTTTTTGATTGATTTATTTTCTATTTGTTTATATCAAACTTTGTATTTCAGGCTGTTATTTTAGTATAACTTGTCTTGTCAAACTATTATTTAACATTTGGTATCAAAACTACAATTTTATTTTTACGGGCCCTTTTACCTTTAAGTAGTACTTTTCTTAAAGCTGAAAGGGCGTGTGTCTTGAGATACGCCCTTTCAGCTTTAGGATACCAACTTTTTTTTTTCCACAGATTTTTACGTTTCAGACAATTGTCAAACCGAATGGCAAAAAAAAATTTTTCTTGTAATGTTTCTTGTAATTGATCAATTGGTCTAATTTTTTGTACAGACCTAGGGGACACTTTTCTACGAAAAGTTCTTAAAGAACCAAGTCAATCGGTCAATTAGTTTCCGAGTTATAGTCATTTTAAAAATCATTACACAACCCAAAGCGCGGCAATAAATAATAAAATTCTAATTTACGGCCTAAATATCAAAAATGTGAAACCTTTCTTTGTAGAAAATTAAATTTACTATTAAAAAGGTTTAGTTTAGCCAGAATTTAGATTTGAAAAAAAAATTCTAGATTTTTTTCTATTTTTATTTATAAAAAAAAAAGGTGTAAAACTTACGAGCTCGGAAGTGATGTGCTTGGCTGTTTGAACACTTATGACAACACACAGGTTAATTCTCACACGCACTTACTACCCCACTGTACAATTTGGCGACACTGTATACTATTACTATACACATGTACGTACAGACATCTTCTGTTTGGTTGCTCTATTCCATCTCACACATGTCACATGTCACATGCGAGCGTATACAGGCTATACATGTGTAGGTTAAAGGTATATATGCATATGGATGTACGGTGAACATTTGATGTGTCTCTGTTAACATGTACCGGCGGTAACTCGACCGAAGCATCCCTCAACATCCAACATATATGTAAATATATATGTAAATATATATGTGTGTGCGTGTGTGCGTATAAACAGGTTTAACAATTAAATGTTAACACGTCGAGAGTGCACAAACACTGACAACATCTTGAATTTCAATCAAAACTTAAACTTTTCCTAAAACTTTCCTCCATCCTTTGTTTTATGTTCCGCCAAAGATCAGACCAGACAGACAGGAAGATCCGGGTATTATATATAGTAGTGGCTCTTCTGTGTTCACATTACTTGTCCTTGGAGTTGTATTGATTGTGGTTCGTCTGTAAAGAGACAATTCCAATTGTTAGATTTACTTTAATGTCAAGGGTCAGGCTTTAAATAAGTAAAAGTTATTTTTAATTTTGCAAGGACCCAGGGGACACTTTTCTACGAAAAGTGTCTAAAGAACTGAGTCAATAGGTCGATTAGTTTACGAGTTATAGACATTACAAAAATCATTGCACAACCCAAAACGCGGCAATAGATAATTAAATTGCGATTTACGAGCTTAATATTGGAGATAAAAAAAATGATCAAGGATAAAATTGAAATAAAAAAAAAAAATATTTAATAATTTAAATTCTACTTATTACGTCCATATCTATATTTGCAATAATTAAATAATTAATAAATACAATATAAGTGACTTGTAAAATTTTACAGTATGGAGTACACAATTTTAATTTTCATTAATCATGCCGGGAATCGACACTAATTTTTGATTTTTATTTTAAAAATTTTAAATTATTATTCCTCTCAGTCACCAATTGACTCACTCAATCTAATTCAACATATTTACAATTATCCTTAATATTATTAATATAATTATTGTAAGTATTATTATTATTAATAATCATAATTATTATTGAATTATTTACATACGATTAAAATCTATTAATCTGAAAGATAAAAAAATGTAAAAAAGAAATCGAGCGTTAATAAAAAATCAGTCTTAAATGCAAGAGATACAAGAGTACGTACATTTTATCATCGCATCGTTGTTTTATATTTTTTTTCTATACATTTTTCCTACTTACTCATTTATTATGTAGTTACTTAGATATTAAACGCGGTTACTTTTTTTTTACCAAAAAAATAAGCGTTGTAAGGTGAATGTCTCCAAATTTGGTTGTGGTTTGAGTAAAAACTCAATTTTTTAATTACCAGTAATTAGAAATTGTAATTAGGTTGTGATTTTTTGTAAGGTATCTAGGGGACACTTTTCTAAAAAAAGTTTTTAAAGAACCAAGTCAATCGCTCGATTAGTTTCGGAGTTATGGTCATTTTAAAATTCACTGCACAACCCAAAGCGCGACAGAATAATTTCAATTACAATTTACGAGCTAAATAATAGATACAAAAAATTTTTAATAAACTTGTTGTATAGAAAATTTAATTCTCTATCAAAATGGTCCTCATCAATTTTTTGCTGTCTCTAACCGTTTACCCAGAATTTCTACTCTAACCTTTGTTGCGCATTATTTCGCGGTTTTTGATTATTGTAAACAAGATAACTCTTGAATTAATTAACCAATCGATACAATTCAACGTACCTATCATCCGCATATATGCCCGGAGGTAACTATTAAAAATCATCGCGGAAATCCGATTTGTTCAATAGAAATAAAATGTTTTATTATTTTGTTTTTTTTGGCCACCGCCAAATTGTTGTGAACAATAGTATCCTCTGTAGTGATTTAAATTTATTTATTTATATATTTCCGATTTAACCTTGTGATTGAATGAAAAAAGTTGTTTATTTATTTCAGTTTGTCCGCTCGTTAACTTTTTGTTTGTTCTGATGAGAGCAAAAATGCTGGGACAAAAATAAACAATCGAAAAGTGGTATGAGGTAGTTGACGTAGCACTTTCGATTCACTATCAAACACACGTCTAATTAAGCTGTGAGTAAAAAAGCGTCGTCAGAAATAGAAGCTGTTAGATATATATAGACAGATACAATGAAGCTGAGATGAGGAAAAAACATTGTTCAACAAGGATACCGTGATTGTCTTTTATTGGATTTTGTTTTGTTGTTTTTATTAAGGTAAGCTGATCGCGACACGCTTTTTACAGTTACCGGGAAAACTTCGATAAAGAGGGTGAATAAATGACTGTTCAATAAGCAAGAACAAAGCTACTGATCGACCTGATCCGTGAATTATTTTGTTACTTAATATTCCTCAAAGGATTTAAAAAAAAATTCTGAGACGAGAGAAAAAAAAATTTTTTTGATTTGAACAATTTTTTGGTGCATTGTTCTAAACAAAGATTGTTTTGAACAAAGATTGTTTTTAACAATTGAACATTTTTTTTGTTCAATATTTGTAAGCTCAAACAAATGACAAAAAAAGGCAGGGAGATTTTTTTGAACAATTATTGTTCAGGAACAAAAATCGTTTTGAACAATTGAACAAAGACTGTTCCGAACAATTGAACAAAGATTGTTCCGAACAATTGAACAATATTTTTTGTTCATTATTTGTAAGCTTAAAAATGACAAAAAAAGGGTGGAGAGACTTTTTCGAACAATTATTGTTCAGGAACAAAGATTGTTTTGAACAATTGAACAATTATTGTCCAGGAAGAAAGATTGTTTTGAACAATTGAACAAAGATTGTTTTGAACAATTGTTGTTTTGAACAATTGAACAATTATTGTTTTGAACAATTATTGTTTTGAACAATTGAACAATTATTGTTTTGAACAATTGAACAATTATTGTTTTGAACAATTGAACAATTATTGTTCAGAAACAAAGATTGTTTTAAACAAAGATTGTTTTGAACAATTCAACAATTTTTTTTGTTCAA